AGAGAGGCTGTGAGGAACGCAATACTGCAAACGCTAACGTTTTGTTTTCATAGTTATTTGGCCACCTCGCGAGATCCAGCGAACCGGTAGGAGTTCCTGTTTTCCCCTTTTAGTTTTTGTCAATCTAATCTTTCAAGTCAACAAACCTAAAATCGCGCACCCAGGGGGTTCACTTCCCCAGAGGGGCTCAGATCATGAAATAAACGCCACTAAAAAAAACGCTGGACGAAGCGACCCACAGAGAAAAGTCCCAGGAAGTGACTTCCGGTTGAAGGTGGGAGGAGCGGCTGATTTCCGGTCAAGGCGCCGGCGACAGCTCTAGCGCAGGCGCGTTTCGCAGTTTGCAGGCTTTTTTTTTTTTCTTCCCTTTCCCCTCCCCCTCCCTACTCCAAGCCGGAGGGGTCTTGAGGTGACAGCGCCTGCAACTGAGATTTCAGCCGCAGGAAAAGATGGAGAAGAGGAAGCTCGGGCGACGGCCATCTTCCTCCGGTGAGAAAGGGTCGGAGGACGCTTGAGCATATTGTCTCCTACCCCCGCGAACGGGAGCCGCAGGCGGCAGCTGGGGTTGCGGCCCGGAGCCGCGAGGGCGGGGGCGGGGGCGGGGAGAGGAGGGGGCGAGCACAATGGAAGGCTCCCGGGTCGCCCCCGCCCCTCGAGTCGAAGACCCGGTCCGAGCTGTCATCGAAGCCTCGGCCGCTCTTCACCTCAAAGCCCCTTTCGTTTTTTGCCTCCTCCCGCGAACCCCCTCGAGTCTCATCGGCCCGCGGATCTTCCCGGTTGGCTTGCCACTCTCTGCCACGCCTTCCTCGTAATTCCACCGATGTTCCAGTTTCCTTTCGGCTTCTCAGCGCCTGACCCCACTTTCCTGTCTTCCTTTGATTCTCGACTTTGCGTCCCTTCCCCGCTCCCTCCTCTTCCCCTCGGCCTCTAGCTGCTGCTGGGGAGGACAGGTGGGGCTTGCGAGCGAGACCGCTTTTCTTTGATGCAGTGCCCCGCCGGGTCTGGTTCTGCCCAGCAGGCCCGCCTCATAGCCTTCTTCTTTTCCAGCCTCCTCTGCGTCTTCCAGAAGTGATTGGAAAGTCGAACAAAGGATTCCAAGCCGGGCTTTCGTTGTGTTTTTATTTTCGGCATATTTTCGTTTTGGAAATTACTTTGTTATTTTGTTTTAAATGGTTATCTTCAGCTTTGTGTACAGCGTCTTGGAAACAAGAAAGTCGAGTTATAAAGACGTGAGGTAGAGCTCCTCCCAGTCGAGAAGTTTTTGTCAAACACTTCATCCGTTAAGGGGTCCTCAAGTCCTTGTGTTAAGTCCTGTGGATGGGAGGGGGAGACGGTGAGGACTCTCCTACTTACGGTCCAGTACGAAAGCTAACACCCAATGAATCAATTATTTCATTTCATTTTTCTGTTTCTTATGGTGCCGTTGATTTCTGCAGAGACACTGTTAACAATTCCAGTTTCATTTAGGAGTGCCCTGTGGCAGTGCGTCTCAAACTTCTTTCAACCTTAATTGCCAAGGAGAGTGATTATGGATCGCTGGGGACACTGAAGCAGTTAAAAACCTGAAATCCCTTTTCATAGGCAGTCAAATGCTATCGATGTTTTTGGTGTGTATTCTGGAGATAATAGTTTTTTCCTTTGAAAGCACATGTATATATGTATATTTATACATATATGTATGTATATGCCTCCAGCTGATGAGTGTTTAATAATCTCCACCCCCCACCAAACCTCTAAGTAAAATGGACACGTTAGGAAAATGCAGGATGCTTAGCTGGTGCATTTCCATGCTTCCTAACAGAGAACTTCAGGTAAAATCATATCTTCGTTTAAGATGCACAACTTTTTAAAAATAAATGCATTTCATCTACGTTTAATACATTTTTGGGGAGGAAAGGCAAGATGTTTGCCTCGTACTTCAAGTCACATCCCCTTGACCTGATTACACTTAGATTTATTTATTTAGCACAGTAACTTGATGTCAGTAGTCCTGAGAAGTGAATTTTGGTAATAAAGCTTTTAATCCTTAAAAGACATTGACATTTATGTTAGTTATATCTCTGTTTATTTCTTATTTTCTTTTTCTCATGGTCTCTCTTTTGGAGCTGCCCTTTCTGAAAAGGCAGGTATAATAAAATCCATTCTCAGTTCTAATGTTACCTAACTGTTCTCCAGTATGCCTCTGGTTTTAAGATGTGCACAAATTAATTTTTAAGTACGCTTCTGCTTTTCTTTTTTTTTTGTTATTGTTGCTTTTTTATTTTATACTTTAGATTTTAGGTCTTGACAGCCTCTATGCCTTCCTTACTAGTGTATGTTTAACATCCGGATATAAATTCTCAGAAATATAACATGATCAGTTGGTTGATTCTGTGTAATGGTTGTATGCATGCAGTTGCCATTTCGTTGTAAGTTGTTGCCAACTGGAACCCAAATGAAGTGACTTTTTTTTTTTGTTTTTTTGAGACGGAGTCTTGCTCTGTTACCCAGGCTGGAACACAGTGGCATGATCTCTGCTCACTGCAACCTCCTACTTCCAGGTTTAAA